CTCTGTCTGTTGTCGTTGTTGTCGTTGTTGTATCCTCAAATCTTGTAACTCAATTTTAACCCACTTCCCAAAGTGGTATCGACTGCAAACTTGGTATACCTGTGTAATACTGATGACAATATTCTATCATAAAAAAATATTTGTCAAAATAATTTTGTACATGTTATGTTTCGGCTTGGGTCTAATTTATCACGGTCAACTGACGCTATAATTGGCCACGGTCCCTGACGTTATGGCAAGCTTCGGGCCCACCTCCTGGAGTCGTGGAGTTCTGCCATTACTAGCACATTTCATAAAAGCGTGTTTCAAAAAAGTTTTTTTTATATTACTTATTTTATTCCCTTATATTCAAAGGCCCGAGGTGACATTGTACCGCGCGGCCAGTCGTGCGCCTGCCTGTGGTTACCGCCCCCTGTTTCCGCGTCCTCCGTGGAGTGCCGCCGTGGCGACGCCGGCCACTCATTGTCCCTCGGTGCTCATTGTCTGGAAGGGCGCCCGGCTGGCGATCACACGCCCTGCGAGTGTTCGGTATGAGGGTCGAGATGGGGTGGGCAGTGGCGCTGCGATTCTCCTGACCTCATGTGCGCTGCATGTGGGTGCTCGGTGTGTGTGTGCTCGGTGTGTGTGTGTGTGCTCGGTGTGTGTGTGTGTGTGCTCGGTGTGTGTGTGTGTGCTCGGTGTGTGTGTGTGTGTGCTCGGTGTGTGTGTGTGTGCTCGGTGTGTGTGTGTGCTCGGTGTGTGTGTGTGTGATCGGTGTGTGTGTGTGCTCGGTGTGTGTGTGTGTGTGCTCGGTGTGTGTGTGTGCTCGGTGTGTGTGTGTGTGTGATCGGTGTGTGTGTGTGTGCGCTGCATGTGTGTGCTCGGTGTGTGTGTGTGCTCAGCGTGGGGCCAGGAGGGAGTCGCGGCGCAGGCGAACTTGCTCCGCGGCTGTGGCACCACAGCTGCACCACAGCTGCACAGACAATAGCGTCGCGTTCAATGCGGCGTGTCACTTAATTCGTCTAATTTCTGCCACGGGCAATCAAACCGTTGTTTGTTTTTGTATTGTCACGCGACAACCACTTGTGTGTGCCATGGCGTGCGAGAAGGCACCCCGCCCCCTAGTGTGGATACGAGGCAATGGAAGGGACGTCGGCAGTAGTTCTCCGGAGTCATCTTCCAGACAACGTTCTGTGACTCGGAGGGTTAGGGCACGGTTCACCGAAAGACTTCCGACTGGAACTGTGTTTGCCCCTTGACGAGGCCCTGATTCCACTACTGAACGGATGTGAGTGGCAGCCGAAGGAGGGCAAGCGATAAAGAATTGCACGTCCGCCGCAGAGATGAAGTGACAAGATCGGCCCGAGTGCAGGCGAATTGTGGCCAGTTGCGAGGATTGGTGGCGACGACTCGGGGTTGGAGGCATTCATCCAGCAGTGAATTAATCATGGCGCAATGCGTGGAAGACCAAAACAAACCAAAAATGTGATTTAACTTCGCGAGCACAACGCCGCATGCTGACAAGCGCTGATGTCAGCACAAGCAACCACGCGTCCTCCCCTCGTTAAATACCCCCCCCATCCCCCCACCACCACCAGCAATAATAGAGATAAATGAAATACGCAGTTTCCTTATCGGTGACCCCAGCGCGCTAACATCGCGGCGTGGAGACGGAATGCAATTTGACGCGAGGCGCGGAGCCTCGGGCCCCCCCCCACCCCCCTCCGGCGTGGTCGAATCGGCCCGGGTCGGTACGGGGAGCAGGGAGGGCGGGAGGGTGGGGGGGAGGAGGCCAAGCCGAGTGGAAAAATAATTGCTCGATAAATTGTGCGCGGTTTGAGGCAGTGATGGGACTTGGGGGGGAGGTGGTGGGTCGGGTGAAAAGAGGGTGGATGGAAGATGGTTGGATGGATCGGTGGGTTGGGTGGATGAGTGAATGTATAGGTAGGTGGCTTGGTTGGTTGGGTTTGGTTGTTGGGTGGTTGCGTTGGTGTTTGATTGGGAAGATAGGTGGGTAGTTGGGTGGATAGATAGATGGTTTGGTGATTGAGTGGGAGTGTGGTTGGTTAAATGGGTGGGTGGGCGGATGGGAGTGTAGGTGGGAGGATTGGTGAATGGGTTGGTGGGCGGATGTGTGGTCGAGTGGATGTTTTGGGAGTTGATTTGCGGGATGGATAGGTTGGGGATGAGTGGGTGCGTGAGTGGGTGCGTGGGTGGGTGGATGGTTGTGTGGGTGAGTGAGTGAAAGTGTGCGTAGGTGGTTGCTTGGTTGGATGGGTTGATGGGTGTTGCAGTGCTTGAATGGGCTAGCGAATTATATAGAGCGGGTTGAGTGAAATAAATTACACACACATATACGGTGCATAGAGTTATTTATTTATAAAGCCAACATAATTTAATATATTTCCTTATAAAGGACGAATGCATTCTTTATCGAGGTCGGTCGTGTTTGAACAATCATAATTTCTGGAGCGATAACGGAGGGCGAAGTGTCGCAGCCACAGCTGCTGCAGCTGCAGCTGCTCGTCGCCGCTGATGCCCCCCCTCCCCCGTGTTGACCTCCGTGGGCTCGGGCCCCTAAGCTCACCTCCCGGGCATGTTTACCACCACCCCGCCTCACGCACCCAACGCAAGCCCCACCCCCCATAAAGGGTCCCGATATCGATGTGGAAATTGCAACTGATACGGCACCCAGACACGCGGTCGCTGCCATCGCGCATTACATTTTAATGGGGCTTCCTGGGTGGCGTGGGGGGGTTATGAAGCTGCACGGAATTTACAGAAACTTTTTATTTCCTCTCCCGAGACCTTTCTTTACAGCCGCCGACAATAATTATATAATAATTTACTTATATATCCGGGAGAGTCGCACTGATTTGTAAGTCTCTTTTTCAAGACATGTTTGTTGTACCCCACCCACCCACCTTATATTTTAAAGTAGTTTTTCACCGATGAATAACAAGTCGTGTTTATTATACAAGCGGGGGTAAACCGGAGCGCCCGGAAGAAGAAACAAAAAAGCCCTCCCGACGGCTCGCGAAGAGGCAACGCTCTCCAGGCCTGCCGGACACGTGGTGATGAAGGTGGTGGGTTGTGCGTGGACCTGCCCCCCCTTCGCCCTCTTACTCCATGCGGAGCCCTGGGGGAAACGACCAAGGATCGAAGTGCATTGATTGGTACTTGTTGTCGAGGTGCCCGTACCCTCGTCTGCAGAGCGCAGACTTAACATCGTGTTCCTTTTCGATTTAAAGCTTTCGTGACTGCAGCAGGGGTTCATCTTCTTGGTGCTTTCGGTAAAGTCACGTAGAAGGGAAATAATAAAAATAATAAAATAGTAAATAATTATAATAACGTAATTCAAAATAATTATATTATATTATTTTATTATGTTATAATTTTTAATATTTTATTATTTCCCTTCTACGTGACTTTACCGAAAAAACCAAGAAGATCGTCTTTTCCTGTCTCTGTTGGGGTACAGAGTGTTGCCCGCTCGCGTGGGGGTTCTCCCGCAGGCGGCTTCGGTTACACCGAGGCGTAGCTAGGGGGGGGGGCAGGGGGGTACATGTGTCCCCGGGCGCCAAGGTAGAGGGGCGCCAAAATGAGGCTTACAACGTTAAATTATAACTTATTGCGGCGGGCGCGGCAGCCTGAAACTACTGCACGAATCTACACCTCAACCTAAAAGTTTATATCCCACCACACACAGCCTACATGTCATGTAATTATATTTGGTATGTGATTAAACGGGGGGGGGCGCCAATTTTATAGTTCGTTCCCGAGCGCAAAATATCCTAGCTACGCCACTGGTTACACCCCACGTTTCATAAACAACTAATTTATTTGGATTTTTAAAAATGCCATGAATATATATGGCGGACCGCAGAGCTTCGGCAATTGCTGGCACCGGCTCAGCGCATGGCAGCCCTCCCAGCTTCTCCGCCGTGTCTGTGAGTTGCATCTCGGCAATCAGATCTCCTCCTGCACGGAGCGGAACGCTCATTCGTGGATTGGCCAAACATTCCAAACGTAGCAGGGCCCTCCTCTACCCCATCTTGAGTGCTGTTTACCGGAATACAAGGACGCGATTTGGGCTGTTATTCGACCAACTAAGGTCGTGTCCCTGGGTCACTCACCTGCGGGAGCTGGAATCAGGCAGAGAACCGTTTCGATTCGTTTGTCTGGTTAATTTCCCAGGTCAATGTCACAGTAAGTGGATGTTCAAGACTCGTGACGTCATCTCACGCAAGGTTGCCGTTGCCGTCGATGCCAGGGCTCGGTAAACAGGGGCCATTGAGGGGGGAGGTGTGGGCGGGCACCCATCACCCGCAGCCTCAGTGTAAGTCTGCAAGTGTGGGCTAAGACCACGGGGCCACGAAGAGCTTGCGAGGTCACGAGGTGCCCCCGTCGACTCCGCCACTGCTGCTCGGCATCTGGCAGAAGGAAGGAAGCGATGGCGTCGGTGTGGTGGTGCCATTCACATCGACGGCAGTGGCTGAGATGAGCCCTTTCAACTTGAAATCGACTGCTGCCTCCCCAGCTATAGCGAGCGAGGGGACTCCCTCTCGATGGAGCGGGGGGGGGGGGCATGGAGTGATAGGCGGGCACTAAGACAAAGATCCCCCGTGTAGCCTTAACAGACTGTTGGGGCAAGTGCTGTTAGCGAGTATAACCTATGAAGGCCGGCACGGCACACGAGGGAGTGGGTGGCCAGCGCCACGCCCGGCCGCCTTTGTCTCCCCAATGACACACACCCCACCCGGTACTCATTTGAGGCTGAGTCGACATAGGAGAGGGCCCAGGACCGGCTCAGATAATCGTCACTGGTGGTGGTGGCCGTGAGCGGGAATCGATCTCGGGTCGCCGGGTTCGTAGCGCAGCGTGCTAACCGCTGCACCACCGCTCCTCACAATGGGGGGCGGGGGAGGCACGAGCCCCCCCCCCACCCCCCAGAAACACTTCCAGCAGTCAACACTCGGAAGTGAGAGAGACGGAGGCAGAGAGATGGGGACGCGGGCGCGTTTTCGACATTCTGACATTTTATTTCATGTTACAAGGTGCAATTTTTTCGTACAATGACATTGACATGCAAACACAGGACACGACTGACTTGGTAGATTAACTCTGGAGAGCCTCTTCACTCACCGCCTCGGTGAATAGAAGTGTCATCGCCTGCACAGCTGCACTGCCCAGGTGCCGTTACAGGAAACAGCCCCAGGTGAGAGTTACTACCTCAGGTGAGTTGCAGGTAACAGCTGAGCGTGAGTGTTATCGGTAATCACTCAAGGTGGGTTACATGTAACCAATCAAAGTTGATTGATTGCAGGTAACCGCTCAAGGTGAATAAACCGCAACAGCCCAGGTGGGTCAATACTCAGGGGAGTTACGGGTAACAGCTCAAGGTGATGTACAGATAACCACTAGGGGAATTACAACTCAGGTGGGCTACAGGTAACAGCCAGGTGTGTTACACGTGGCTGTTACCGCCCCTTCCCCAGTGGAAGACTGCTGGACGCTTTCAGAGGGACACGGAGACACGGGTAGGTTTGCAATTCACGGACAGTACACACAACACAGCATTCGATTAACGTGTAACGATTATTATTGTCATTTCCGATTTTTTTTCCCTCTCCTAAAATTAATCATTATCATCAGCAATCAACATTTTTTATTATTGTTACGTGGCCACTTAAACTGATTCCATTAACGGACAAATGTAAGGATGGGGGCGTTCGAACAAACAAGCACGTGGAGAGAGAGTGAGGACGGGTTCGAGGACACATTGAGACGCAGCGGTGCGGGCTAACGCATGAACTGTGTTCGCTTTCCCTGAAGTTACCCCGCTGTCAGATCAGGGGTTACCTCCGACAGAAGCAGCGGCAATCCCCCTTTTCTTGCACTAGAATATCATCATGAACATCATCATCATCAACATCATCAACATAATTTTATTATTCGTAGTAATAATAATATATTATTATAACATCTATATATTCACCACCATTCTCGGCACATCAAGTAACGTGTTGGTTTTAGTAATTGCTGTCTGATGACACAAAGAGAGATCATTTATATTATTTATATATATGGCTTTGGAGGCTTGTTTTTATATAAAGGGAGTGGAGGGAGGGTTCGACAAGAGAAGCCAAGCTCGGTGATAATTTACGCATTCCACGTGGACACTACGATACACTTTGTGGACGTGCACACACGCGCGGTGTGACTTGAGATGAATTGTGAATTGCGAGAGTGGGTCGTGAATTTGGACTCAGACCTGCACTGAACCAACCGGTGGACGTGGCACGCGGCACATTCGGAGGCAGGGGACCCGTGTGCTCGCCTCTGGGGGGTGGGGGGGGGGGCACGCAAGCGGTGATGCGACACGCGGGACAACAGCGATGCGCTACGGCCGTCGTTTTGAAACGCGTAAATAGTCAACGACGCGACACGAGACTCGGGCGACACGAGGGTGGAACGATTGATTGGACGAAGGGCGACCACGTGATGTGTTTTTTTTTTGTTTAACGCGACATGATGTAACCATGATTACGATAAACACGCAAGAACGGACGTACGAAACACGCACGCAAAGATGCAGGGCCGAGAGTTACGAACGCACACACACACATGCATGCACACACGAGCGCACGCGTTCGCAGCGCAACGCAGCGCCAGAGTACGAACGCAATCACGGACGCACGCGACGCACGGACGCGCACATGCACACGCGAACGCGACGCACACGGAACATCGACCAAAGCAGGGCGCGGGCTCCACACGGAGCCAGGTTTGACCCCCTGGGATGACCCCGGGACCCCGCGCGGGGTAATGGGGTCATCCCCGGGGGTCCCGAGTCACCGATTAACCGCGAACATGGAGCCCGCCGACCACGAGGCGAGAGTGCTCGCCATCTGACTCGTGGTACGACGAGGTGGTGGTGGTGATGGCAGTGGTTATTATGGAGGTAGTGGCCGTGATGGTGGGTGGCTGCGGTGATGACTTTGGTGGTCGTTATGATGGTGACTGTGGTTGTGGTAGGGGCGGTAGTTTGGTGGTTGCAATAGTAGTTACCGTGATGGTGGTGGCGGTAGTTGCTGTGGTGGTGATGGTGGTGGTTGGTGGTTATGAAGGTCACGAGACAGATGCGTGACAGTGACGGTGGATGGAGCGGGGGGAGTGGAGGTGGAATTGAACTCAGGACTCATAAGCGACGCAACAGAGAATCAATTGCAGCGAACACTGCCGGCGACGACTCCACGCACAATGCTTTGCTTTTGTTATTGCTTCTACTTTAATGTAATAATATATTCTTTTAAAATGTTTTCGTACATTATAGCTCTCATACAAAACCTATAGCACTCATGATAGCTGTTGATACGACAACAGCACAACGCGCTATCTGCACTCCGTGGCCTCGGGCTTGGCTCTGGGACGCGTTACTAAAGCTAGCCGTGTATTAGTGTCGCTTTGCCTCTGTGCACCTAGCCTGGCACAAGCGCCGTAGTCACGTCACCACCACTTTGTGGCGAACGGTGGCTGTTGTTGTGTGTCTGTCCCTGTGTGTGTGTATGTACGTGTGTGTGTGTGTATTTGTATAACTCAAACACTATTTTTTGAATTAGGACCCAGGCATCAACTTCTGGTTGTGAATCGGCCGCGATCAGATTGAGATCGCTGCCGCGGGCGCCTCGAGAAGCGCCGCGCCGTCTCCGAGCCACTCCACAGCGGGCAGCACGGGGCCGGCGGGGAGTTGGGAGGGGGCTTTGTCTGCGTGCCACCCAACATTTACTCCGTGACAATTATTCAATTATGACGGCAACAACAAACACACACCTATAGGGAGTGGGGGGGTGATAGGGTTAATTACAAAAAAAACCACCGATCCCACACTCAAGCTGCTCGCTTTACTCCCGTGTGGCGAAAAACGAGCAAGCGTGGAGGCGTTGCTGTGTCCACAACACCACGCAACGTCACCAACTACAGACAGCAGAACCCGGCCCAGAGATGCCTCCCCATGTCTCGGTACCCCCCCCCCCCCCCAAGGTGGCCTTCACTGTCAACGATTCTATTTTCTCTCTGCGGGCAATGGCGGTGAATTTCGCGATAGCCACGTGAAATGTGAGCGGGGTTATCGGATACATCAACTCGTGTTGGGCCGTGTGAATCGAGTCGGTGCGACGAGAGGTGTTGCGACCATCGTGAGACTTCAATGGGCAGGAGGGGCATTTAGACGTTGGGTCGCGAGTTTAAGGAAACAAACACGTGACGGGCACGTCTGTACGATCACGATCAATTGTGACCGTCATCATCATCAATTGATCGTCATGATCAAGCGTGATCATCATCGATGTTGTTGACTATCAACATCGTGATGGGTATCATCATAATCACGATGTTGATAAAATAGTTAACATCATCACAATTGCCATGATAATCGTCACTCGACCATGCCAAACTGATAAAGTTGCGTGCTCAGACTGTCACAACATTTTTACAATCCCCGGCCCCGGACGAAAATAAAAAAATTAGATAAACGAACCGATTTTTTTTATTTTACCAGGTAAGGCCCACTGAGTTATATCGCCACAAATGATAGCCCAATGAAGTGGCTTATTGCGTGGAAATGTAGAGCAGCAGCCAAAATCCCTCAACGCGTGCTGATTACAAATGTGGAGGGGAAAAACTGGAGGACCCGGACAAAAATCCACGCGACCACGGGGGGAGAGAGAGAGAGAACATTACAATGCGCACTTTGTCCACAGCCGTAGCCGCTGCAGAAGCAGCAGGAGACGGAGTTGGAGCTCCACCCCAACCGGAGCTCTCACGCGGCAAGAGCCACTACAGAGTGGAGTCGATTTGGTTACTTTTGTCTTTGAGGCTCCGTGGTGCAGCGTGACCACCACGTGCAGACGGGGGGGGGCGGTCTGCACAAGCGCTAAAGCTCGACTCTCGCAACAGATCCAGTTAATTCTACGGTATGTTGAGTTTATTGCTGCTGATATTATCTCTATTAACGAGTGTGCGCCACCTGCCTGATATCAGATGTCAGACAATCTGTGATTGACTCGCGAGAGGTAGCCTGACTATTTTCCGGTCTCACAGCTTTCGTTTTATACAATGTGAAACTTTGCCTGCTGTGCCGAACGAGGGCCGCGTGATACGCAGTCGCGGACCGCATTCGGTCCACAGACCGCGTGGGGTTCCTGCAGGCGATGGTGTCCGAGAATCACGTTCGACGCGGACACTGCTGCTCGCAAGAAACGCGTGGAGTCAGCTCGAGCATTCATGTGAAAGTAATGACGATAAATGCCCCTGATAAACTCCCATTAGTCACACGCGTAAATCACCACCTTCCATCATGATCTATAGACACAAAGACAAATATCACCTGTATAGCCTCAACAGAATGGTAGGGCAAGTACTGTTAGCGAGCAACTAGCCAGCACCACGCCCGACCGCCTTTGTCTCCCCAGTGGAGATGTTTTTACACAGCTAGGGCAGGCGCAGGACCGGTTCAGATAATCGTCACTGGTGTTGGCCGTGAGCGGGAATCGAACTCGGGTGGCTGGGTTTAGAGCGCAGCGCGCTAACCGCTCCAATACCGCTCCCCACGATCACACACGCACGTGCACACACGCACAGGGACAGCATTAGTGGCGCATGATACATGACTCAATAACGCTGAGAGTAATGCTAAAATAATAACAGCATTTAAATCCCAGCCCACGTGAGTCGCGAGGGATCAAATTGAGAATCCAACCACGGGAGACGAGACATGACGGGGGAGGAGGGGGGGGGGATCACGCGGGGCGCGGATGAGTGGGATGCAGCCGGTGGTGGTGGTTGTTGTTGTTATTGACACCTACGAGCCATGGCATTAAACATTGAGAGGCTGCGTTGGCAGCGCTGTGCAAATGCGCGCATCTCGAACATCCCCGCCACCCTTGGTCACGTACGCGCACACCCTCAAACGCAGAGCTACTTATAATCATGAGGCTGACGTTTCAGGCAGTGCCCTCTTATTCAGGGCAGAGATGCAGAGAGGGCGGAGAGACTGTTCAGTGATCCCGCGTTGCTCTGTGGGGCCACTGGACACCATTGGGAGGTAGTCGCCCTGCCGACGCGTGAACAGCTTTCAAGTTAGCAATTTATTTAGCCCAGTTGGTGTTGTGCCGCTGAGGTCGTGACGGGTTTCTTTTTCCATTCCTGTTGCTCCGTGCCCCCCTTCCCGCCTCTGTACCGTTCCCCTTCTGCTGTAATGTGCACTGATGCCTCCTTTCTTATTGGCACGTAAAATAATGATCGCTTCATTGATTGAAAGTCACATTCACAGCCGCTACCTGTCCATCATCCTATGAACGGTGTGAAGATTAAAAACAACGTAATTTCTTAAACCTCGCATAATTCTCATGGTGAACAATATTAGTCGTGGCTTTTTGTGTTACTTAATCAAAGGTCACATGTCGTATATGTGACCTTGTTATGTGACCTTGTTACAACGGATGGTTGGTGCAACGTTGGCTGGCCACACCAAACAGTGCTGCCTAACTTATCAGGTGGGCCAATCACTGTCTCTTTACACTCCGAAGGGCCATTGCCCGAAACGTTAGGACAATCTATGCATGTTATAAGGCGGCGTTAAATGATCAAGGTCGTGTTCGTGATTGGTGAGTTGTTGTACGTTTGCAAAGCGCCAATACCAGGGATTGAACCGTGAACCTAGGGGAGATGGAGAGGGAAACAGGGGGAGGGGATAAAGTGGGGGGGGGGGGTGTCCGGGTGGGTTCCTGTAGCGTCTCTACGTGCGCGCGACCAACACAGCTGTGAACAATTAATCATAAAAAGTAATAAGAGTAGACAACACACACACACACCTACGCACGACGCAACGGCAGCAACAACATGCGGGACACGTCCGCGTGTCACGTGAGTTCTAAAGCGCGCGGAGAGCAGCACGTGACGACTACACCTGCGCCCAGGTGAGAGGAGCGGGGCTTCCATCACAACCCCCACCCCCAACTCATCTCCCCACCTTCCCCAAATTCCCCATCCCTCCCCTCCTCCCACTCCCAGCCTGATCAGTCACTCGCATCCCCAGCACCCAAGGGAGGTCAGAAAGGAGGTGGCGGGGGGGGGTGTAGATGGGGGGAAGCGGTTGTAGATGGGGGGGGGGCTACCTGGGCAGGGGGAGAGGCCGGGTCACCTCGCACACGTGACGCGCTGCTGCATATTGAGTGAGGTCTCTTTGGAAAGGTGCACAGCGCCCCAGTGTGCGTGTTGACGTGTGTACCTAGCCTGGCACAAGCACTGTAGTGACGTCACGTCGAATGGCGGCCGTTGTGTTTTTACGTATGCACGCGTTATAGACTTCAATATAGCATATTTATGCGTGTCTGTTGATATTTACAAGTGTGTGTTTATGCGTGCGAGTGTGCAAGTATATATGTATGCAATGTGTGTATTTGTGGGCTGTGTATGTATTTATGTGTTTGTCAAGAAGCGGTTCCATTCAGATGCCGTATGAATACAAACGGTATACATATATGTGTATCAATGCATGTATGTGTGTGTTTATGCATGCATGTATATTTATTTATGTATATGTCTGCGCATGTATGTATTTTGTTATTTGTCCACAATTTCCCGCGGGCAGCTCGCGTGAGCTCCAAGCTCGCACACGACGTAGGGTTCCCGAGTAGTGACCACCGTCTGCGGCTCACCCTCACCAGTGTCATCATCCCAGCAGGCGATGGGAGTGGCCGCGCGGGGTGCGAGTGAGTGAGCTGTTGAGTAAGCGTGCATTTCAGTTGGTGCCTGAGCGGTAGAGTGAGCTGGCAAAGGAGTTAGGTGGAAATCAATTGAGCGAGCTAGGGGGTGAGCGAGTGTGTGCAGGAGTGCGTTGGCGAGTGAGTGAGCGAGTAAGTGTGGTAGTGAGTGAGTGAGTGGCTAAGGTGGTGAGTGGCTAAGGTGGTGAGTGGAGCTGACGGTGAGATGCCAGTGACACCTCCGCAGAACCCATGCCATAACCCGAGCGCACGAGAGGGCCTCACTAAGTAACCTCACGGCCACAGCTCACTCATTCAATTAATTCATTCACGTCGCCCAATTCATTCACACGGATCCCCAGCCTTCATGGCTGGCGGCTGGAACCAGGATTTTCCCGTTGAAATCCAATTTCAGCCACTGGTCATGAGCAATGAGATAATTATTCATATCCTATCGCGCTCCGCGATCGCTCATTTTCTATAATTCCACGACACTGAAATAATTATATTTATATATTTTTTGCAAGAGTTGAGCAGCTGTACGTGCCTGAATCCCAGCCAGATTTTGAAATGTTACCGCAGCTGTTTAATGGAGGCTGCTTCTTGTGACGAATGGGATAAAAAAAGCCATCTCTGAGTCAAACTCTCTCCAAGAAGAAACTTTTTTACACTCGGCAAAAAATCACCAACACTATTATTACTAAAATTCAACACTCTTATGACTTTTTTTTGTTGCGGCCACAACTCAGGCGTGGCTCCGAGTGGGTTGGGGGACTCAAACCCAATCATCAGCATCATCGTTTATTATTTTTATTATTAAAGAAGCGTGCGGATGCTGCGTTTGTTGTCGAGTGGCGGTGTGCTTTGGCCTCCCGTGGCGAGAACGAAAATTGTATCCCTGGTCAATTTGGCCACCGTCATTGGTTTCGCCCAACAAATTTGGCCACCGTCATTGGTTTCGCCCATCAAATTTGGCCACCGTCATTGGTTTCGCCCATCAAATTAGGCCACCTTCATTGGTTTCGCCCATCAAATGTGGCCACCGTCATTGGTTTCGCCCAGCAAATTTGGTCACCGTCATTGGTTTCGCCCAGCAAATTTGGCCACCGTTATTGGTTTCGCCCAACAAATTTGGCCACCGTCATTGGTTTCGCCCAGCAAATATGGCCACCGTCATTGGTTTCGCCCATCAAATATGGCCACCGTCATTGGTTTCGCCCAGCAAAATTGGCCACCGTTATTGGTTTCGCCCAACAAATTTGGCCACCGTTATTGGTTTCGCCCAGCAAAATTGGCCACCGTCATTGGTTTCGCCCAGCAAATTTGGCCACCGTTATTGGTTTCGCCCAGAAAATTTAGCCACCGTTATTGGTTTCGCCCATCAAATTTGGCCACCGTTATTGGTTTCGCCCATCAAATTTAGCCACCGTTATTGGTTTCACCCATCAAATTTGGCCACCGTTATTGGTTTCGCCCAGCAAATTTGGTCACCGTCATTGGTTTCGCCCAGCAAATTTGGCCACCGTCATTGGTTTCGCCCATCAAATTTGGCCACCGTTATTGGTTTCGCCCAGCAAATTTGGTCACCGTCATTGGTTTCGCCCAGCAAATTTGGTCACCGTCATTGGTTTCGCCCATCAAATTTGGCCACCGTTATTGGTTTCGTCCATCAAATTTGGCCACCGTTATTGGTTTCGCCCAGCAAATTTGGTCACCGTCATTGGTTTCGCCCAACAAAGGGTCCCGGAGGCTTCCCGGTCCCCCGCCGGTGGCCCCGCGGTGGTGTGACGGTGGAGGGAGCCACCGGGGCCCACGTGGAGAGACACCGCTCCGGGCTGGATTCTCATCTCGACGCAATTTTTAAAAGTCTCACTGGGAAATCCGCGCCCCCCCCCCCCCTCCCGCCAACACCCCCCTCAAAATAAAGCGCCGATTTATCATTATTCGTCGTCATTAACGACGACGATTTCGGTGCCCAGAGTTCCGTGAAGTCGTGAATCCGATATTTAGCGAAAGAGACCGGCTGCCGCTTAAGCTTCGCCAGAACATTCCGGAAAAACGGCCGTTCTGGGGAATTAATCTTTTGGCACCCAACCGCATCATCCATCTCACGCCAAATTGTGTCCTAAAAACTGTTCGTAGGATTGTAGGAATGTAGGTACAATAATATAGGATTATTTCATGTATAAGGCGCCACCTTGTACTCGCGTGGGAATGCATTGTGCAGGTAATCGCAGAGCCAAGCCAGCCCCAAGCAGCCTCGCCGGAGAGTCGTGAAGCGAGAAATGAGCCCAGGGCGAGGACCAACGTCTCGGCAAACTTTCTCCTTTTGTTGCAACCCCCGAGAGCGCGCCGTGCGACTTGCCCTAACACCCAGTAACAACATCCACGCCGCGTCTGCATAATAAAACTCTCCTTCGTGAATTTAGGACCGAAAAAAAAACACGTTCTCGTAAACGTGTTTTTTTCCCTTTGCAATTGAAAAGGACAAGCCCGTCTTACATCATTCAAATATCGTAAATATTTTTTTTCCAAAAAATGTTTTTGCGGTTGTTTGTTTCCGTCTCACTCGGGGCTTCTCAATAATTAGAATGTTTACATTACAATTATTTTAAAATGCATTTTGAAAAGACCAGTTTGAAAAAAAATATCATCACCACCATCAATCGTCACCATTGCTACGGCAATTATTATCGCCGTCGTAATTAACAACAACAATGAACGAACTGCAGGCCTGACCTGGGTTGGCTGATTCATCTGATCTGATTATCTGTGCGTCGAGTGCGCGCTGAGCGAGCTGAGCGCCTCTCCCCTGTCCCGGCTCCTCTATTTCTTGAACATGTCTTGCAGCGGCCCGGGCAGGAACTTGATCACCGAGTCGAGGATGTTCTCCTCCTCTTCCTCCTCCTCGCCGCAGCCGGCCGGCACCGCCTTCTTGGGTCGCGTCAGGCTGCCCTCGCACGGCATCTCCATGGCCGCGTTCGCCTCCGCCTCCCGCTCCTCCTTCTTCTTGATGCCGTACTGCGCATGCGCGTGCAAGGGGAGGGGGGGGGGTAACGTTTAGCGCTGCTGCTCACGGTCAACACCGGTGCCTCCCTTAGGTGGACTCAGCCTCAAATGAGCACCTGGTGCGGTGTGTAGTAAACATCGCCACTGGGGAGACAAAGGCGGCCGGGCGTGGTGTTGGCCACCCACCCCCTCGTGTGCCGTTGCTGTCTTCATAGGTGCTCGCTAACAGCATTGGCCCCAGCAGTCTGTTAAAGGCTATACGGGGGATCTTTGTCTTTGTTGTGTAAGGGGTGGAGAGCGGTGGTGTAGTGGTTAGCGCTACGCTGCGCTACAAACTCGACAACCCGAGTTCGATTCCCGCTCACGGCCAACACCAGTGACGATTATCTAAACCGGTCATGGGCCTCCTCTAGGTCGACTCAGCCTCAAATGAGTACCTGGTGCGATGTGGAAACATCGCTACTGGGGAGACAAAGGCGGCCGGGCGTGATGTTGGCCACTCACCCCCTCCCTCGTGTGCTTTGCCAGCATTCATAGGTGCTCGCTAACAGCACTGCCAACCATATGAAAGAAGAAACGAACAACACTTGCCCCAGCAGTCTGTAGGTATTTGCAGGGGATCTTTGTCTTTTTCTTTGTGCACCCAAATCACCTCCCCCGGCCATCGCTCCCTGCTGCGTTCAAACGATTAAAACGGCGACTTTGGCCACTTTCCAATCATCCCACTCGCCTCCGTCCCACGCAGCCGTAACTCTGTCTGCATGGAGATGAACACTGCTGGCAAAAAAGTAAGAAGCGGTGGGTGGCGGGGGGGTGTAGGACGATGTGGGCCGATGCGACGAGATGTTATGAGGTGGGAAGATAAGTCGGGCATTGCGATGAGGTGTGAGACGTGGCAAGGAGCAGTGAGAAGCGAGTCGATGTGAATGATGAGAGGAGATGTGAGGCTACGCAAGGGCATGTGAGTTGTGAGGAGATACCAGGAGATGCGAGAGGATGTGAGGAGATGTGAAAAACGCGGAAAAATTCGAGAAGATGAGAGGGAGACGCATAGACACGTGACGAGATTCTCCGAGACGCGGCGGGATTCCTGGCGACGCGAGGACATCTCAGGGAGAGCCAGACGAGACGTGGGGAGACGTCAGGGAGATGCGGGGTCGACTGCTAGTGGCTGTGGTGGCCTGCGGCAAGGTGATTCGGCCGTGGAGCCCCGAGTGAGGGACGCGTTCGGAGTCTGGTGACCTCACCGGGCCAGTTGCTCCACCGCCGTTCGGAATTAGCGAAGCCGCTCACGCGTCAGTTTTCAGACTCTGCTGCACCAACTATCACCGCATTCTCTGATTTAAAAGACGGCACTTTAACACCCCCCCACCTATACAAGTTGGGGGTGCGTCTGATAATCCGGTAGCTGCGTGTGGGCGCGCGTGTGTTGAGATGTGCATAACTTTATTGACATCGGACACAAGTCTTGGGGAGTGTCTTACTTTCCGGATCATCTTAAAATCCAGATGAAATAGTAATATGAATACGCTAACATAATTTAGTGTGTGTGTATGATAACCATGCCATTGGTATTACGTGGATATCATGACGTAGGCGCTGTGTATCACAGATGGATATAGTCTGCCGATAGGGGGCGATGTTGCTACTTGAATTTCACGACACCTTCAATACAGACCATCACTCAGTATTCAATATGAACCTTCACAACAAAAGCCTTTTAGATGTAATCTCGACATTGGCTTTCAACGTAGTCGCTACTATGGGCTTTTAAAACTCACCTTCGCGACACTTTCAAGATTGATCTTTGGTGATTTGAAAAGCGTCGACCGCTGGCCATGGACGGTGGAAGATTGGGAACGGAATCGTTTGTGGGAGAGTCGAGGCTGAATGACCAATCGCCGCCTCGCATCTCAAACTCGACACCACGGCAGGTGTCTGGCGTCGAGCGAGAGGCAGAACGGAGACCAATTATGGAGCCGTACTCACTTTTTGGACTTTGGACCGATTGGTGTAAATGAGGTCCATACTCTTTGGTTCTTTCGGTAAAGCCACGTAGGTATAAATAAGTTAAATCACGACGTTTCGGGCGCAACACAAGCGTCCGTCATCAGTGGGACAACCACAGCAAGAAACAATTGCTGAAGTGGGCAATCTCTCCGTGCCTGCAGTCATGAAAACTTCAAATCTAGATTGTAAATGAGGTCGTAACTTGTTTGTGCCACTCTACCAGCGTCCCTCCTGCGAAGGTTGCCTTGGCTTGGTTGGGAAGTTGGGACTGTGGGTCTGCGATGTGAAGTTAGACCTCGTGGACTAATTTCTCTGTTATGATCGCGTTTTCGTTGTTTGTCCTTTTTTAGTTTTGGTGCAATTCCTTTATTTATTATTAATATTAGCGGGAAGCACCCGGCGTTGCCCGGGGGGGAAAATATATTTAATATCTTTTCTTAAAAACATAACATATACATACACAAATACTGAGCTATTGTGAAAGCCCGCAGTGCCATTTGTCTGTCCATTTGTCCGTCAACAAAATTACAAGAGGCTTGCAGAAGGCTTAAAAGTTATAGAAAGTGAAGGGTAAATATTTGATCTAAAAGTTTTCCGAAAACTGTCGACCCCCGAACCCCTTCATCACTGATTCAGCTTCATTAAGTGAACAGACCAAACGGTTTTCCTTAAAACCTTCTGCTGCTAGACCACCCAGATTGTATGGCTTACCGAAAATCCATAAAGAAGGTGCCCCCCTTTGTCCCCCATCGTCTCCACCACTGGCTCACCCACCTACAAAGTGGCCCAATATCTGTCTGAGACCTCGCAGCCATTCACTGATGAGACCACCTCTTCTGTTCTTAACTCAGCTCCCCTGGTATCGTCAAGTAAAGACATATCACTGTCCCCAGGTGATTTGCTCGTTAGTATCGATGTAGTTTCTTTGTTCACAAAAGTTCCTGTGCCCGATACCATTGCAATAATTGAAGAGTTGGTTCAACAAGGATTGAATGCTAATGTACCGGCCTCTGGTGAGACACTGCCTCACCAACGCATACTTCACTTGGAATGGAACATTCTACAAACTAACTGAAGGCACCCCAATGGGTTCTCCCTTATCTCCGGTTGTGGCCAACATTTTCATGGAAAAATTTGAGACGGACGCCATCCAGGCATCCACTCTATGCCCGTCCTTGTGGAAGAGATACGTGGATGACACGTTCGTCATCTGGCCACATGGCCGACCGGCTCTGGAACAATTCCTCAACCACATCAATTCCATACACACAGCAATAAAATTCACCATGGAGGTGGAAAAGGATGGCTTGCTACCCTTCTTGGATGTCTTAATCAAAAAGAGACCAGATGGCTCAATGAGCCACTCTGTCTACAGGAAAGTAACCCATACTGACGCCTACCTAAAACCTGATTCCCAAACCTAATTCCTACCACCATCCATGCGATGCTGTTAGCATAAATGACGCAATATAAAATGTAAGTATGACTATCTAGATTTGAAGCGCCCACTTCAGCAATTGTTTCTTGCTGTGGTTCTCCCACCTGATGACGGACGCTTGTGTTGCGCCCGAAACGTCGTGATTAAATTTATTTTATTTTATACATACGTGACTTTACCGAAAGAACCAAAGAGTTAAGTATGACTATCATCATCATCATGATCAGAGCCAAGGTCAATCAACTGCTGGATGAAGGCGACTGGCACGCTCTTTTAGGATCCTGCGGCATAACAAGCACCTGCGCAAGAGCTGATTTCATCACTCCATCTCCTCTGTGGGTTAGACCCCCGCCCTACTACTTGACCCATTCCCTTGGCTGCCACTACGTCGAGACTCTCGACCGATCTCGAGAGGTGCCCCGAGAGCAAACGCCGCCAAGCGCCATTCCGGACGCCACGACGACGTTTGATCTCTCGCAAAAGACGCAGCCGCGTCCGTTTCCGTGTTGTCAACTTACAATAAAAACCCCAGGCAAACAACGTCAAATAATTCATTATGGAACATTTCAGAGTAGTGCGGGGGTGGGGGGGGGGGGGTCAGGCCTGCCCACGCGCGGTGACTCACGTCGTGGTGGGGGTTCGGTGGGGATGTTGGGAAGGGGGATGTTGGGGGGGGGTGTTGGGGGGGGTGTTGGGGGGGTGTTTAGAGGTATCCCCCCCAGGGCTCGCGCGGTCCCGTCGGGCTGGCTGCACCCCGTCGCTTCCTCACACCCCACCCAGCGCTCTCAGCCGCGCATATTTCATCATCGTCGTCGTGCCCACTGTGCCCACGTTCGGTGAAATCTGAATTCTTTCCAACTCGGCTCCCCACCGCCCCCATCCTGCCCTCCCACTACCCTGCACAATCAAAGACTCCCTGCCTCTCTCTTCCCCTCTCTCCGCCTGCCCGCGGAATCTGCGTATGTCCTTTCCCCTCCCATCACACCTTCCTCCTGCAGACGTCCTCCCACACTCGGGAGACTTCGCACGATTGTCTCTCGGAGAGAGTTCCGACGGCAATGCCGGCGGGGTGCAGACAGCGCGCCCGGCGTGTGATGTGCGCGTCCGCGAGCGTGCCACGAGTGTGTGAAGTGTAGAAGCGAGAAGCGTGCGCTGCGGTGGTGAGATGTTTACTGCCTCGCCTGGTGTACAGGAGGTCGTGGGTTCGATCCCGACCCTGACGCCTGCTGTATATTTGGAGTTTGCGTGTTCTTCCCGTGGTGGCATGGACTTGTTCTGCGGATTCTCCTGTTTTCCCCTCCACATTTAGAATCAACGTGCGTATTTGGCTGCTGTACATTTCCACATGAGCCACTTTGTTGAGCTATCATTCGTGACCTGGTCACTTGTGAAAAAGATCCACATATCTCAGTGGTCCTTACCTGGTAAAACTAAAAAAACATTTTTGTTTTATCGAGCGCGGTGGACAGAGGCGGTGGTAGGGGCGGCGATGCTGCGGTGTTTGTGGTTTCCGCGGCGAGCGGGCTCGGTCGGTCGCTACCTTGTCTCGAATCCCCTGCCGCATGTTCTCTCGCTCGGCCTCCATCTTGGCGTACTTGGACTTGCGCTCCTCCTCCTGTTGCCGCAGGGCCTCCTGTTGCTCCTCCTGCTTCTTCTCGGCGTCCGGGTCCTTCTCCTCGTTGCCGCCCATCATCTTCCCCATGTCCTTCGTCGCTCCTGCGGGGGTGGCGCGGGGGGGGTGGGGGGGGGGACATGGAGCGGTATGCGTGAGACAGGCAGAACGAGGCACGGAGAGATGGGGGAGACGGGGTGGGGGTTGGTGGGTTAACAGGACTGGGGGACAGTTGGACGGGTGGTAAAACGACGGACGCCAGGAGACAGCGAGACGGAGTGACAGAGACGTTAGAGAGACAGAGGCAAGGGGACAGAGATAAAGACCGATGGATACAGGGAGAGCAGACTTGGCGATAGATGGGGGAAGCAGAGAGACACACACAAGGGGACAGGCCGACAGTGATTCAATGAAACAAGGAAACAAAATGAGAGACGGGACAGGGTGAGATTGGTGTGATACATGGAATGGGGGGCCCTAAAGTGATGTCAGGACACCAATCGAGACACCCAGAGCCCTGTCCCTGCCCCTCAATTCCGGCATTTCGCGTGATAATGGAACCTCACACTTTCTGATGCCCCGCAAGAATTTCCGAGCTTAGATGTGAATTTTGGCAGGAGATTGGAGGGGTGGGGAGAAGATTCGTAGGGGGGGGCGGGATGGGGGGGGGGCTCAGGGATAAGTGTGAGGGATGGCGTGGGGGGGGGGGGGGTTTGTGGGGTGCGGGAGGTGTGTGGAGGGGGGGGTTTGTGGGGTTCGGGAGGTGTGTGGAGAGGGGGAGGGGGTGCGCACGCGGGAGGGAGCGACGCGAGCGGCGGATTGTCGTCCCGTCGCTTTCCAGCACGGAGCAATTTTCTTACCAAGAAAAACGAATCGATGTTTTCGATCGCGGAGTGCCGCCGGCGCTGACCGAGGCACCGCGCCATCGACCCCGAGGCGCTCGGCCCTAATCGAGCCGGACGCATTCCAGACGCGGCGCCCGGGCGTCTCTATCCCGACTCTACCCCGCTCCCCGAGTTTCCAATTTGTTCTCACGCAAGCGCCGCTTGCGCGCCTTTTTTTTCTCGTAAGTTTGTCCGCACAATTGGTAGGTGGGGGTCGGGGGATGACGGGGAGGCAACTAAACCCTTCCCCCCCCTGTGTTTTGTTTAAGAGTGCAATGCTCGGAGGCACTCACGTGCCGATGCGCGTGCCGTCTGTTGTCGACTCAGCCTCAAAACGAGCACCCGGTGCGATGTGTGAAACATCGCCACTGGGGAGACAAAGGCTGCTGACCGGGCGTGGTGCCGGCCACCCTCGTCTGCCGTGTTCGCCCGAACAGTCCGCTCAGACTAAACTGGGCATCTTTGTTGTGCGTGTCTGTGCTGGGGGGTTGGCGCACTGCGCTACGATCCCGGTCACAGGAGTTGGATTCCCAGGCCACGCAGCACTGTTGACGAGTGGCATCTCAGCTAACAGCGCTTGCTCCTACAGTCTGCTAAGGCTATACGGGTGATATTTGTGTTTGTGCCTGCTGTGTTCGCCGTGAAGCGGTGGTTCAGTGTGCGAGTTCTCTCTCCTGAAGCCCCGCTCGTCGCGGCCAGCTCACCTCGACTTTGGCATTTAGCGCCTGAACGCGTTTCTGTCAATCATACGCAAGAGCGGTGATTATGATGATGATCATCATCATCATCATACTGCGCTGCAAACTCGGTGACCTGTTGAGTTCGATCCCCGGCCAGGGCAGCATTGGTGGTCATAATGTGAACCGATTCTGGGCCTCCATTTAAATGAGTACCTGGTGCGATGTCTAAACAGAGACACGAGGCACACAACGGCGGCCGGATGTGGTGATGCCCCCCCCACCACCCACCACACAAGGGCACCGTGCCGACCTTCATAGACGTTTGCTAAGGTGCGTTGAACTTCGTTCGCACCGTACGTAGCCAACCGTGCTAATCGGAGGACAACAAACTAACACACACACAGAGCAATTCTAAAGAGAAATTAGTTTTCAATCTAGAACTTAAAAGTGGATAGCTCGAGCAGCTTCCTAATGTCGCGCCCGTGGCTTCTTAATATCAAGCAGCACTTTCTACAACAGCACTTGCCCCAACAGTAGGTGAAGGCTACACGGGGGACATTTGTCTCTGTGTGTGTGCTCGGGCGTGTGTTGGTGGAAAACTGCCCTCTGATCCCCCCCCACCTTTCTTACATCACCCAGCCGCGCGTAGGTCAACTCAGCCTTAAATTAATACACGGCGTGGTGCGTAGGCGTCGGTCGTTAGTCACGCGGCGATCGATTCCCACGCTCTCGATGCACGCAGTCAATCGTGCCGCGTGACGATTCACGATTCACGAGACGTGCGAATGATATGCTAATCGCACGCTGACGTTGTGTATGAACTAACGGAGCAAACAAAGCTCGCACAAATATGATTTGAAATTAAGAAATAATGCAAAAGGAGACGATAAAAGTGAAACTAATAATAATACATTATTTTATTTGAGTCTGGCCCCAAATCATGTGACACTCTGACCTTAGAAGCCAAACTTTACTTTATAGGAATTGGCCAAACACGTCTTGAAACCTAACGAGGCTTTCCAAGGTAAACAAATAGTTAAATATGTTTACTTATTGATGCAATAATCGCAATCGAAAAGGTTACGAGTCCAAACACTGGATTGGGGTTGACTCAGCCCATCATCCTTCCGGGGTCGATAAAACGAGTACCACGTTGTGGATAAGTCAACGGTGGTTGTCCGATGGATGCTCACCCCTGCCATTCGAATAATGGAATGTCCGCCACTGACTGTGCAGGGCTGCAAACGGTAAATGAGCACCGATGCCTCAGTGCTCAGTTGAGCCAGGAAATCACGTTGACTTTTGAGTTCCCATTAAAGGTTCTCGCTGACAGGTCCTCCGGCATACGAGGGTAAATGGGCGAGCCCTGAGTGTGCGAGAGAAAACGCGTCTCATCATTGCGGGCCACTGAGGAGGCGGTCCCGGTGGGGGTGGGAAAGTGGGGGGGGGGGGGGGGGGTGAGGAGTGGGGGCGGGGTGGAAGCCAGAAGCCCCATCCCTTGTGGGACCGGATTCCAAGTCGAGCGTGGACCAAGGAACACAAAGTCGTAAAAAAATAATAATAAACCATGACAGCGCCATTGAATTATTATTCGAATAAAAACGTCCACGCGGAAATGAGGAACCACTGAAGTGAAACCCTGAACACAATACGATGAGAAATATCGCCACGTAAATTCTCAGGCGTGTTATACAGGTACACGAAAAGGGCGGAGATGCGCACGCTCGTGTGTGTACACACACACACACGAGAGCGTGTACACACACGCTCGTGTACACACACACACGAGAGCGTGTACACACACACTCGTGTACACACACACACGAGAGGGTGTACACACACGCTCGTGTACACACACACACGAGAGGGTGTACACACACGCTCGTGTACACACACACACGAGAGCGTGTACACACACGCTCGTGTACACACACACACGAGAGCGTGTACACACACACACACGAGAGCGTGTACACACACACACGTTCGAGTACACACACACACACGAGAGCGTGTACACACACACACGTTCGTGTACACACACACACACACGTTCGAGTACACACACACATGTTCGAGTACAAGGCAGAATAACACGGAAAGGCTCAGGGGCCTGGGGCAGCCAATGTGACTTTGTCCGAGATTGGATTTGGCCGCTGATGATTTTATAAAACAAACTTTGTTTCGGGCCAATTTGATAGCCAACGCAATTAATGCAGCAACAAAGGGAATCACAAGATGAATTTCTGTTTTATATAAATTTATGTACTTCGCTCTGGTAATTAAGTTTTACACGAATTCTGGAGAAGGGGGTCACAACAACAGTGTCCGGACTCGTGTGTAATTGCACGCGCGCGCGTGTGTGTGTGAGCGGGGGATTCAATACTGGGATGGAACTGTGTGTGAGGACGTCTCGTTAGGAGTATCTCCTCTTGTCATCATCGGCCTTGGTCAATCCACTGCTGGGTTAAGGTTTCCACAGTACGCCACCGTCTCTCGCGATCCTGTGATGTAACGATCCACCCAGCGCTCGCACTCACGAGCGGATTTCTACTCCGCTCAACGCTTTAGTCAAATCCACCTCCACCGCTTTAGTTAAATCCACATTCGCCCACGGCCAAGCCTGGCTCCAGCTTCTCTCGGATGGTGAAGGGGGGGGGGGCAGTAGGATTGTTGTGTGGGGGGGGGGCACCATAGGCTGCTATGCATTTCCACATGATACGCCACTTGGTTGAGCTATCAATTGTGGCGAGGTCGCTTCTGCTAAAAGAGCTGTACAGCTCAATGGGCCTTACCTGGCAAAATAAAACTAAGCAGAGTGAAAGTTGGAGCGCCTGCCCTGGCTCCACCACAACCTCAGCTGGTGGGGCCCACCGCCCCCCCCCCCCCACTACCACCGTGGCCCTCGCTGTAAGGCAGCGTTCGTCACAAATGTTTAGAGGGGAGGGGATGGGGCACTTTCACCGATAAGACATCATCGGCGTGAGTGCCGCCACACATTTGAAACCATTGTTGGGTTTGACAGCAGCACGATGATGATGGGGGAGGTTTCACTATTTGTGATTTGTGGATTGTCGGTGGGGGGGGGGCAGGCGAACCTCAGGGGTTGCACTCAAGGCCACCAGGGGCCGTCAGTGGCCCGCGGGCCTTGCAACGAAGGACACCGCCGCTGCTGTGAGGGGCACGCAGCGAGAAGCGGCAGAGGTGTGCGCCGGGGCTATCCGCGCGCACTCTCGCGGAACGGCATCGCGGCGAGACGCGAACGCCGATCGCCGCCGTTGCACTGCTGTGCCACGAAATGGTGCAAAATTCCATTCACACCCAGAGCCGCGCCGGACGCAACCAAATCAGGAAGAGATTGGCTTTTTTTTGTTGGGCCCAATATTATTTGTTTAACGTCCGTGGTTTGAATAGTGATCGGGACGAGTCGCGCAGCGTGCAGATCTCCGCGCGGGAGTAATTTCTATTGAGATGACTCAAAATCCCGCCGCTCAATAACGCGCCTTTTCTTTCGAATGCTCCTAATTGACGCGCAAATTT